TGGTAAATGTCCGTGGAGGAACAGAGACCACATGACACACACACACCCTCACACAGCAGATGCTCCTGAGTTCCCATTGGCTCTTAGATATTTTATAAAGTCTTTTTGTTATTCTTTGTGATTTTGTTTTTTGTTTTGTTTTGTTTGCATTTCAACAGAGATAAGAGCATCCTTCTCCAAATCTCCTCGCCCATCTTCATCTTGTTATGATGAAGTGAGTCAGTCACTCCCAGTTGCTAGGTGGTTGGAATGTTTCTCTGACATTTTTTTTTTTTTAATTTAGGAATTACAGTAAGGGCCTCGGCATTCACACTGGGCAGTTTTGGAGCTCTGCCTTTTGGATGCTCAAACGGAAGAGCGGACCTTGCAAAGCAGCCTTTCTTTTTTTCCTTCCCCTCTAACATTCTAATTTTATTTCTTGAATGTGTTACAGGGCTGCCTACGAGAATCCCTTCCTGTAGCTTTTCTCCTCAGTTGCTTCCTGCCTCTTAGCTTAGGTCCCTGGACCCACAGGGATGAGTAAGACATGATTCCCCATCTCTTGGAGTTCATTGCATCCATAAGAAAGACGCTGGTTAAGTGAGACCATTGCAGCACAGTCTCAGAAAGCAGAGGAGGAAAACTGAAACTGGCCAGGTGAAGGTAAATAGCTCCGGTTTCTAGGAGGAGGAGAAGCCAGAGCCAAGGCCCCTAGACAATTCTAGAGGGAGGAAAAGGCCTCCGGGGAGAAGAACCAGCCTGAGCAAAAGCCTGGAGGTGTGAAACTGCACCTTGTTCCAGTTGACTTGAGTCCAATTTTCTCACCTATATGTTGGCAATGGAGTAAAAATTGGAGACACTTTCTCCTTTCTGTCTGTGGTAGGGAGCATCCCTGCCGGGCTTCTCCCTGCCCCCTAGGGGCCAGGAATGGGCCCCTGCGTTGTGGGGAGTCCCCAGGCGAGGAGGAAGGGTGGGGCTGCCCCGTCTGCAACGTGGACCCCGGCTCACCCTCTCCCGAGGGAGGCTTCAAATCCTACCTGAGCGCGACCTCTTGCCAGAATTGGGGATGCTGATGAACGTGGTGTCCTGAGTAATGAGTGAGCGTGACAGGCTTGGGAAAGGCTCTGATGACCCTGAGATCACCGCCTGTCACAGGCAGCCCCATGCCTGCCAGCTGCACACAGAGTCAACAATGTTCCAGGAAATGGATGACCAGGCTGCCCAGGTTTCAGTCAGACTGGATGAGCCAACCGTCAAAGAACTAGAAAAGAGGAGGACTCAAAACCATCTGTGGACTGCAGACGTGCAGATTCCCAGCTATAAACAGGGAGGGTTTATAACCTCTCGAAGGGGCAGAAAGGTTGGCTGGGGAAAGCACTCTTATTAGCAAAGAAAGTAGAAATGAAGAGGTCTTTGAAAACATAATAATTCAATCATATTCATTAACCCCTCTGAGGGCCAGGCATTTTGCTAGGGGCTGGGGATAAAGAGATGTGAGTATGACTTGGCTCTCATCCTGGAGGATTCTAGCTGAGACCAATGTGAAAATTTAAAGTTGCAATATAGCATAGCCAAGAATCTACTAGGGAGTTTTATTTTTTTAAGTGTGATAGAAGCATAGAAGATGGAGTAATTAATTAAGTCCTGGGGACTGGGAAGAGAGGAGGTGACTTTTAAAGGATGCAGATGGGTTGGAGTAGGGGAGAGCCATTTTTCAATTGAACCGCATGTAATTGCCAGTGTTCAACCCTACTTGACATAAGAAAGATCAGTTTCATACGGTTTAACCTAGCAATAAGAGCAGGAAAAGGACAAAGGTCTCATCCTGTCCACCAACACTGATCCAATAATCGTATTAATAATAATAATAATAAAAAATAATTAATGATAATAACAATATAATATAGTAATAATAGTAACTGCCTAGAAACTGTGTTAAGAATGATCCTGAGGATTCCAGGCTAATAGGAAGGGATACTCTTGGAACTAATGAATGGCTTCACCTGGCTAAGAATGGGTAGATAGTGGTATAAATTGAGAGTAGCCACCATCCTTAAATTTTAAGGAGCTTTAAAGCAAAGGCACGGAAGTCCGAGAAGTACAGGATCTTGCCGTGGTTATAGACAGTTCATGGTAGTCGGAGGTAGAAGGTCTACGCTGAGGGGTTCGGGAGACTCACGGGAAATCTCCGTCGATGCTGTATCGCAAAGTGCCTTGAATGACCATGTAAAGACTCCTCACACTGCTGCCTGTTCCTTATTATCTATTTGACTTACTTTTTCAACAAACACACATCACTTGCCCCCACCCAAAAAAATGCACAGAGGTCACAGTGTTCTTCTTTGCTGCTTTGGTTTTGTTTAATTCAAAGCTTTCTTGTAAGAAAAGGTCACAGAGTACTAAGAGAACATACAATAAGTACTTTGCAAATTAAATTGGAGGATGTTTTTAGGTAAAATAAAAACCAAGTCCTGTGATAGTACAGATTTTGTTTTACAAAGGTCAAAACCATTGCATAAAGTTATTTTTTTCTCTTTCTTTTTTTTTTTTTTTTTTTTTTGCTGCTAAGAGGCCATCCAAAGGAGTTATTTCAGTTGAGTTTCTCAGGATCGACAGTGTAAGAAAATTAGGAAGGCTTCATCATGCCCTTCCAAGATTTAGCTTTCTAGAGAAAATCTGTGTTATGTCGTAGTGGGATTCACTAAATTACAGAGTAGTATTTAAAATTGACCCTAAGGTTTCAACTGCTGAAATGCCCTTCTGGGTATGTTTTGGCTACAATTATATTATTTTTCTGTGGAAACCTAGCCACCCCCAAGAAACTTCAGATCTCACTTTTAATGTGATTTTTAACCAGGGAGCTTCCTTATGATGGGCCACCCCCTCCCCCTTCCCCAGAAGATTCTGATTTGGTAGCGCTCTGTATATCCTGTAGAAATAGTAGCATCTCTGAGATTTCTAGCACCGAGCACAAGCTTGTAAGTGACCCCTGCGAAGTCAGAATGAACTTCCCTAATAAAGCAGAACAGGAGTTAGGACATGTCTTTCCTGGTGGGCGTTCTGCCTCCTGTGGGTTGATTTTAGACCCCATGCCCCATGATCTGGTGTCCCCTTTGTTTTCTCTGGACCCTCATGCTATGAGAGTTTCCTGCCAGAATGGAAAAAAACCTACCGAGGAAAAATTAGACCATATGAAGTGTCGTCTCACGTGTTGTGATACACTCTGTTCAAATAAAGTAGAAAGAAGAAGAACTATCAGTTTAGCAAAGGTTGATCATGACTCAGGTCCACCCAGACTCTGTATATTTACTACTGGAGAGGGTTCATTAATTGCACTCTTATATCCAGGCTTTTGTGGGAGGAGAGGATGGAAGGGGGTGCTCTTCTCCACTGATAAGCATGGGACACCAGGTTTAATGTGAGAAGGATTCGGGGACATTCCTTCAGATAGAACTTCTGTCCACGGGCTAGTTCTCCTTGTCAAAGTTTGGATGGAGTTGACCTCGTGATGGGGGAAGGAGAGATGGCTTAGGGATTGCGATAGTCTTTCTTTTACCTGGACGTAATGGACCAAGTCTAGAGAAACACAGGGAACAGAGGGTAGAATTTGGGGGAAATGTCTCAGGCCTCCTCAGGCAACCCCTGTGTTTTGGTTTGGTGCCTGAAAGACAGTGGTGACCTCCTTTGGAACTGTGTCTGGTTTTGTAGCTCAGGAAGGATTATTGTCTCTTAATGCCACGCCTTGGCAGTCCCTCTCTGCTTGGCAAACCCCTCCCTCACTCTGGACGTTTTAACGGCATTTTGTTGACACTGGGAAAGATATCAAAAGATTGTAGAACCCCTCCCTAGGGCAAGGCTCCAGGGATCTAGGTGAGCCGACTGGAAGGCAGGGCTGCTTCTCGCGGGAGATTGCTTCCCAGTGGTGGTGATGACAGGAAGATACAGAGACAAATGGAGGTTGTCCTTGCCCAGCTAGGGAAGGGGACAGAAACCACAGGAAACTATTTGCATCATCAGAAATGGCCCCCTCAGAAGTCTCTCTCATTCTTTCCCAAGTCTTTGAGTTTCAGCCTCGCAGCAGCAGGAGAGCAGAATTGACACCCTGAAGATTCCTGAGGCTGGTCATCCTTGGAGGGGGTGGCGGTGGTTCACAATGTGTCACAGATTGAGGCGAGAGCTCAGGAGTCCACCACTCTTCCCCGCTGTAAAATTCCACTTTGCAAGGAGAAGCCCAACGCCCTTTGCTTTAGGTCAGGCGGAGGCACGTCATCACTGCAGTGCAGCCTGGGTCCGCGGCCTTAGTGAAGCAGCCTCTCCTGCTGGAAGGCAGAGAGATTTAGGGAAGAAACGGGAAATGCAGAGTCAAAGGCGGTCTCACCCGAGCCCAGCCTGGGTCCAGGATGAGGCACAGGGATGGCAAAGTTGCATTTCTTTCTTCCCTGCTTTACTTCCATTCTTCCCCTGAAGAACTGCTTCAGAAAAACTAAAGTAGAGGCAAAGAAAACTTTTCTCTAAATCTATTAGTGCGTGTGCTTACCATTTATTCAGTGATTATTCCATGCCAGCCCCTGTGCTGGGCGCATCTCCAGTTGTACGATTCCTAACCCTTCCAGGAGGTAGGTATATTCACCCCTGTTTTCCAGATGAGAATCCCAAGGCACAGAGAGGTATAGTGACTTACCAAGATCACACAGCTAAGCCCTATCTGAGTCAACTCCCTCTGATATTTCTGAAGCTCTATTTTGAGTATGTCACACAGCCTCCATTTCTGATCAGAAATCAGACCCCTCCGCTCAAACCCCACTTGCAAAGGCATGCCATGCCTGGTGGGCGGGGCGGGTGGGTTTCCACCGATTCCCTTCGTCTAAGGCTGGGGGCTTCCGTGGGTGTGCCCAGTCTGCGCTCAAGGGATGTGGCTGTGCTTTCGTCTCTCTGCCTTTCTCCTGTGCGTTGCCGTGATCTCGCAGGTGTAGCGCTCCTGTTCCCGAACCAGATACCATCTATCTCTCTCTCTCTCGTAGGCACGGTGCTGTTGTGCCAGGCAAACCAGGAGGGATCTTCCATGTACAGTGCCCCCAGTTCACTTGTATATACTTCCGCAAGTAAGCCCGCTGTTGTGGCTCTTTTTGTTTTGTGACATAAATCTGAGTCCAATCACCTTCCCTGCCATGTAAGTTCTCGCTCCCTCCCCCTGCACACCCCCACCCCTCCCTTGTGGCTCTCTGCGAGGTGAAGTTGATTCTCATACGCATGTCTCTGTTTCCCCTGTTGCCTTAGCATCTAACCCCTCTGCTCATCATGTCTGAATCCTCACTTCCCGGATGTCCCAGCCATTCTCTGTGAGACCTCTGTCAGGAGTGGGTCCAACGGATGGGAGATGGGGTGTGGGGTTGGGGGCAGGGAGATGGGGGGGGTATCGCTCATTGCCTGCCTTCTGCCACAGCTTTGCAAATGAATATGAAAATAATTTGAATAAAATATGCAGGCCATCCAAGTGGCCCCCTACACTAGGAACGGTGCTTGGCCAGCGCTCCTGAGCACAGTTTACTCATTATGGGAACTATTACTGCCTGTGGCCAGTGACTTGCTTGCAAGGCTGTGTTATCTTTGTGATTCCACTGAGGAGGAGGAAATGAGAGAAAAATGTGGTTCTCTCCATTTAACGGGGGAGCAGGGGGAAGGGAAATAATAATAAAAAAGCACTTTGATAGATATGATTACAGCCATGATGGGCCAGGGGAAGGAGACCAAAAATAAACACAGAAGACAGATCTCAGTGTTGGCAAGGGAAAAAAACAAGGATTTTTCTGCCTGGGGCAGATCCTCTGGGGTGGGTCCACCCCCGGGATGGAGAATGCCCCGCACCCTACCCCAATTCCCAGAACAGGTTGAAAAATGAAAGTTCTTACTGATTCCACCATGGTTCTCCATCTGGTGTGCCCCTCTTCAAAGTCCCCCAGCCCAGCCGCGACCTTACCATCTGTTTCATACAGTGTGTCTACACCCTACAAAGTCCCCACAACTGCCAAACGGGTCCTCACTGGGATCAGTGATCAAAAGTGAGTCTGAAGGTGCCGGGGGAAATTAGGCTGCTTCTGAGACTGGCTAGAGAAGAGGCCAGATGGAGAGCAGAAGTGAGGCTCAGGATAATGAGGAGGAGGAGAAACAGAGGGACATCCTCACCAGGCACCAAGATCAACATCTCAGTTCCCAAAGGCTCAGACAAACCAAAGTCCTCGCTGCAGGGGCAAAGGTTGGGAGCAGTCACGGGGAATCCAAAAACAATGATTATGAGAAACTGGGGCGGAGGGCGTCCCTGAAGGCATCAAGTCATGGGGGTAGCCAGTTCTTCCTCCCAACCAGGGTCTAATCTTCAAAAGAAGCTTTGAGTTTCATTAAAGGCAAGGTATTTTTCCCATGTCCCCCAAGAAGCCAAAATCTAGCTGTACTGGCAAGAAATGGTTCTTTTTGAATTTACAAAAATTGTCCCATTTTCACATGCTCAACCTTGTTTGATGCTCCAAATCTGCACCAGGTAGGTAATCTAATGTTTGCTTTACAGCTAAGGAAAAGGAGGGCCCTGAGAGGTGGGGTAATTCACCCAGGAGCACACAGCCAGGATTTGGGAGATTCGTTTTTTGAACCTGGGGAGATTATTCAAACTTTGTCTGTTTTCCTGGCTCCATGTGCCTCTCAATTTCATCATCATGCCGTGGTATCAGTCCCTCCGTCTCCACAAATTTTATGTTCTGTAGGAGAGAAGGGTGATTCAGAACTCACCATAAGGTTGGTTCCAGAGTATTATTTGAGATTTTCCCTAACACTGTTGTCTGATAGAGCTTTCTGGGATGAAGTGGTCTGTACCTGTGCTGTTCAGTATACGTGCTCATGGGGCGGGGCCGAGGCACTGAATTTTAAACTATTTCACTTCACTTTAATTAATGTTACTTAATTAGCCACCTGGAGCTAATGGCCACCACCTTGGACTGTGTGGCTCTCTGGGACTGTATGCTGTAGGTGTATTTCAGTTTTCTTTGCAGGAGTGAACAGGACGAATTAACTCCAAAAAAGGGTTTGCGTTGGTGTAGCTATTCTAAAGCAACTTGGGGAAGGTGTGTGTCATAAGGTCAAATGGGGAAACATGTCACAAATTCTCCCTATTAAAATCGGTAGATCCTCCAGAAGACACAAAATTGTCTAAAGCAAAGAACAGCAAATCACAGCTCAGGGGCCACGTCCAGCCCACAGCCTGTTTCTGTAATGCTGGGGAGCTGAGAATGAGTTCCTAGATTTCTTTAAAGGATTATAAAAAATAAAACAAAAACAAAAAAATAATACATAGCAGAGACATAGGTGGCCCACAAAATCCTAGAATACTGACATGACATTCTAGCTCTTTATAGAAAAGGTGTGCTGATGGCTGATTTTAAAAGTCCATTTTATTATTGAAAATACAAAATGGCAATATACATGTCACTGTTTGTAATGAGACTTCCCCCGTGAGTTTAAAAGTAAAAGTTTAAAATAATTCTAGAAGCTGTATAATGCATGGCCAACACCCTTCATTTTTAAGTTGCACCATCAGTCACATCACCTACACAGTTTTCACTCTATTATATTCACTTTTTATCATGTCATATGCACTTCATGTAAATATGTTAATGGCCTCATAATCTATTGTTTAATGATATTACATTTTAATTTATCCCCCCCACCACATTGTTGGGTACTTAGGTTGATAGCAATTTTTCAAAAATATGAAAGAAAATAAATGTCCTTGTATACAGTAGTTTTATAGAGAAACAAAAATTAATAAGTAGAGAATCCGACTACCCTATAACAAAACAAAAGGGGAAAAAACTAGCATCTTTCAATAAGGACCTTCACCTGTCAGTTCCTTAAGCGACAGTATTCAGATTCACAAGATCAGCTGGTACTTTGTACGGGGAGCCCACCATAAGACCCCTCCTTCTCCACTTGGGTTGCCAAGGGACCCTAGATCGTTTCCGTCTTGAGGCAGTGGTGCCGTGTATGAAGATGATCTGCCCCTGCCGAAGGCAGGTCGCCGAGCCGTCCTTTCTACTTCAGTTCTCTGAGTCAGCAATGCCTTTTGGTAGGCGGTTTCCATTTGGAACATTCACTTATATTTTCTCTTCCAGATTAAGGTGTATGTGCTAGTATGAAGTCACACCCTATTTTCCATAAATAATTCAGCCAGAAAGTAAAGATTCATTTTTGCACGCATCACGTGCGTGTGCGTGCACACACACACATATATAATCTGGGGACCCACACGTGGTCACCTAAGATCCTTTTCCTTTCTCCAGGTTTGACACACACAGGGCTGAGAGCCACATGCCTTGTCTTTGAGGTCTGAACGGTGTGGCCTCTTTTTCTCTAAGAATCCAGCCTTCTTCCCAACAGCTGAGGCTCCCTTACTTCTCAGAAATTTTTTACTCTACACCATGTTGCAACTTGAAAAACGCATGTTTCTCATTTTTATCGAACCGTTGTGCTCCTGAAAGGTGTGTTATCAGTTACACTGTTGTCAATCACAGACCCTGTGTGTTTGCTGACTTCTAGAATTATTCCTGAGTTTGTACTTTTTTCCCCATGGATCTTTAGCCAGCCTTGGATGCTTTAGACTTAAATTGCCCCTCTGCCTCGCCAAATAGCTAATCATCTGTAAATAACACCCTTAAATGCCGTAGGAGAGATAGTTTTTAAAGGAACCCTGCTGAATTAGTCTGTAATGAAAATAATTCCTACTCAAGTTATCTGGTTTTTTAAGATGCAGTTTTGCATAATGGGTTTTTTCTCCCCTTAAGTGAATCATCCTGTTATATGACCCAGGACATGAAAACAGTAAGAGAAAGATTTTCACTCAGGGCTCAATGTCATTACAAACGAATCCCACAGAATCTCCCATCGCAACCCCACTGAGTCCAGTTTTTCCCCCTCTTCCCTGAAATCGATCCTTCTGTGAAACCCTAGTTCCAATTGTGTCCCGGGGACATCATGCATCCCCTTACATGCCCTAATAAACCACTCCCATCCAGAGTGTATCAGACTTAAATGAAGTCTGAGCAAGACTCCAGAGCATCAGGCAAAATCAACCTTGGACCAAATGGAAGATATTTACTATTACTATTTTGTCTTAAAATTTTACCTTTTAGTCAACTAAATGAAAGGAGTTAAATAAAATTCTTTTATTGATTTTCAAATAATTTTAATTAATTACTTAACATGATGCTTGCTTGGAGGAGGTCAACAGAGAGGTTTTATGAAGGTGGGGGTCGGGCTAGAAGGCCTGCTCAGTGCCCACCCCAGCCGACGGCCAGGGGTCTGGAGGCTCCTCCTGTTGGGGGAAGGGCGTATCATATTACCGTCCATACTGTTTGCATACAGTGGATGCTGAGTGTCAAAACCGGCTCCAGGCAGAGACAGGAACATACCACCTTTCTTCCAAATGAAGACATCACCTCCATTTCTATTAGTTGAACTATCCAGGGGTAAATCATTGGTTCCAGGAATGGGGAAGTCCACTTCCCATTTGGATTAGCAGAGCCACCTCACAGCCATCCTCATTTCCATATGGAGTAGATGTGCCCAGAAGCAGGTAAATGTTACCTGCTTTATTTTGTTGTCTTTACAGTTTAAGCATAGATTTTAAATTACAAAAGTAGCATGTGCTCACTGTAATGAGGGCATCAAGCAAATACACATGCACACACACACACACGCATATACACACACATATCCATATGGAATAATGTAATAATATCCCCCAATCCA